AGGCATCGGGCCTTTGTTCTTTAGCAAGGAAGGGCGTGGTTTTTGAGTGTTTTCTTGTTAGGCGAGATCCACAGGGCTCAGGTGATAGTTAAAATCCAAGAAAACTGGTTAGAAAAGAAAATATGGGTGCTGCGATTATGAACTTGGTCCTGTCGTGAAAGGCGCGTTACGGTAGGCCGCCACTGCCGTTGTCTTAACAATGTGCGCCTCCGTGGCAGCGGAGTTACTGATCAGGATTGGTCATTCATCCAATATCATCGTTTGATATCTAGTAGCTACCGTAAGAACAGGCGAAATACACTTGGGAGAGTTCGGGTTGAAGAGTCATGCACTGGGACCATTATTCTCAAGAGCAGAAACTCCCGCTCACCATGATGAGAAATTGGGTGGAACTGGCAGGTTGGGCGTGGCTGCCAGTGTGGATTCTCAAATGTTTTTTGCTTTCGTTTGTTAATTTACGAACCGTTTCATTGGATAGCATCCCAGTCACTAAGCCATAATACTTCTCTTGTCGTATCTGCGGGTTTTATGGTTAAACATTGAAATTGCCCTAGTTAAGTCGTCACTCTCACGGGAATTCTCCTGGAGCTTGACCTCCTGCATCCTATCGAATCAGGCTCATCACTCCGAACAAACGAAACACGGATGTCCCCGTAGTGAACACAAGTTTCAAACAAGCAACCTGAAATGGACGAGTTTTCACACTACTCGTGCAGGTCAGGCATGATTGCAAAAGTTGGCATTCCTCAAGCCATTTAGTCAAAACTGAAAAACCAGACACTTACGGACCAGCAATTGTGAGAATACTCCATTGTTTATATTTTTTTGTTGGATCAATTGGGTCCCAAGTGGGAACTCAGCGCTTCTACCATTTTCAAGTAAAGGGGTAGGTGCGTGATTCAAGTCCCCGTTTGCCGTCGCTTGCTTGTCGTCGCCGCAGCGACGTTAATGGACGCAGCGAGGCCGATTACTCCCACCTGCGTCTCTCGCTTGTGCCCTTTTTGCCCTCTCTCATTGCAGCGCACTCTGTCGCTAGTGGACCTGGTTCTCTCGTGCGCAGCTTCGCTTTCATTGCAACTGGCGAACAAGCGAGTGAATAGCTCACTAGGTTCACGGCGAATTGAGCAAACACCGTTGAAGACTATTTGTCAACAAATTACCTTGTTGCCAAGTATACAATTGTCGCTGAAGTGCCTGTCGGGAGTGAACTCGCACAAGGGCAGCACGCCCCGCCCTCGACATTGATCGATTTCGGCGGCGGCCGCCATCCGTTGCGTATCGTCACGGTGGGCGTGGTCTTTGACGGCAGCGGCGCGATCGCGCCTGGTTCGTCACGTCACCCCTACGATGCTCACGTCGCTGCTATCCTGCAGTATGGCCATCGGTGCCCAGAACTTTTCTTCTTCCTACACGCACTGTCACTTCCATCGTGCACGGCTCACATTTGGCCAAATAAATGAGAACATTCGAGCTCTCTTGTCTTCCAATAATCTTTTCACCATTATCAATTACAAGTTTATTTTCGAAGTGGTTGTCTTAGACGAGTTATACAGCGCCTTTTCAGTGATAAAATCTGCAGTTTTTGGCTATATCTGCCTCCAGGTTGGGGCGGTCGGTCCTGCAGCGATGGCTGTTACTGTAGTCGATGGGTGTGTGTGTTTACGAAATCCCTTGCAACATCGTGAATCGCGCGCGTTGTTTCTTGCGATTCCTTCCCACTATCGTTGGTCTCCTAAACTCAAGATGGGTAAGGCTACCGTCTAGTTCTTGGCTCACGGGCTTGCTGGTAGTTTTCACCATCGATAGATGACATCGTTATAGTTAGTTTTTCCATCCGCAGAGTTCCATGATGATGGATAACGTTAGTTAGTTTGGTGTAACCTCAGTATTGGTGTATTTTTTCATATTTTCGTACCACTTGGGTTCCTTGCTAATTTTTAGGCAGTTTAGAGATGTCTGCATCTCTGATGTCTGAATCTAGTCAGCGTGACAAAGTTCCAATGATCCATTAAAGGCGATGCGAATTTGCCGCGTGTCACCCGCGGCAAAGTCGGGTAACATCTCCTTTCACAGAACATTAGAGTAAAGAATCGCGTACTAATTCGCGTTTTTGATCATCCTCTAATAAAAGGTGAAGCTGCTAGATCTTGAAATCGCCTAGTTCAATGTCGGAATTTTCGTGGAATTGTGCGTACTCTTCCGGACAGATTTCAGTTACTGAAACCGAATTTGACGCATTCGCTCACTAAATTTTACTGGAATCCCAGTTAGTTCACTTCCCTTTTTCTGTCGTAGAAGATTTTCCCCTCTGGTTGGGTCTTTGGTTTCTAATGTTCACAGGAGAGCAAACGCTTGAATGTCCATTGACCAGCTCTCATGATTTGTTGTAACGGCTAAATCACATCCAAAAGCCACCACGAATTCAGTGGAGTTCAAATGCGTGGCGCATCTCGAAACTATTTTCAAATGCAATAAAACAAGCAACTCATTTCTTCTTAGTTTTGATCTTTTTGGGGTGATAGTTTGATAAAAGGCCCGTACCAAGAGTACAGAGGGCGATGACCCTGACATAAAAAGTTGTGGTAGTGTGGGAATGAGATTTGTTCCTGAATTTATGAGGCCTTTGTCATTCTTCGGGCCTTGTCCAGTCCCGCCTCCTCTCTTCCTTTCTTACTAACCTCCCTCCTGAGGGATATCCACTAAACGAGTATTTCAACCCACTCTTTGGAAGCTAGAGAGCTCTAGGACGAACTGAACTTAATGATCTGTTGGTTCCGCAAAATTGTAAGTCAATCTGTGGGCGAATATATGTACTCATAAGTCTAAACGGTACTGTTTCCACTATTACAACCCCAAAAACTCAAAATTTTAATTTTC